CCCTGTTTCACCTGCCTCTAAAGAACGGAAAAAAATCCCAGTGTAAGAACACACAATTTTTTTCTTCTTGTTGTTGTCTGCTTTCAGAAAATTGCCTGTACAATTGCAGCCAGTGAATTTGTGCCTACGTTAATGCTATAATATGTCTGTAATTACTGATGATCAAAGATTAACTAATTTTGTTTACAAGTGTCCTGTATGGCAATTTTTCTCAATTAAAACGCAGTTTCCAGTCAGGCTGGATTAGTGCATCGGACAACAAAGGCACTGCGTAGAGTGTCATAGCTTTCACAAAGTCACGGCGCTCAACTACCTTAAATCTCCTGTTCTACTTTATTTTTATCTTTTCTTCTATTTTTCTTTTTTTTTTTAAATCCACAATTTTCTTTAAATTGTTATATTAAATCTGTTCAATTTGAGCGATTGTATCTGAAAGTAGTACCCAACTGCCCTTGCCAGAAAGGGCAGATCTGTTCACAACGCTGGTGTCACAAACTTCAGTCCTTTCTTACCACAGCAGAAATGTTCTTTCTCAGGAGGTCTGACATCTGCAGCTCATCTCTAGTAACTCCCTTTCCCGGCTAGGCAGGGTGGTTGCCACAGCCCGTTTCAGACAAGGGGGGAGAAGGAAAGGAGAGACGGACAGCTCAGCCTAGTCCTTCCTTCTTGCCATCCCTCCCAACCAAAGTGGCTCATGTTTGTCGCCACTCCAACCCACGGCTGCTTCAGACACACGGTGGCCAGTTCCTTGTGCCGTACCCCGGATTAGATCAACATCTCAGCCAACACCAGCAACTCCGAGACACAACTGGCCACTCTGACCCCCACCTTGCTCACCTGCACAGGCCTTCGGAGCCAATGCAAGAACCCCAAGGTTACACCCCTGCGGCTTTTGAACTTTTTCAAGGTCTGGAGTTCTGCCAGGTCACCCCAAACATTAATGTCGTTTGGGGACGTGCCTGGGACAAAACTGCAGTTTTTAAGACAGCGATGTTGCTGCTCAAGGCAACGTTGTCCTTGCTGACAAGCGCCCTGCGTGCGGGATGGTTCCTGGCCGGGTGGTGAAGAAGGGCATGGCTTCTCCTGGGTGGGAATGAGCTTTCCTGCCACTGAGCGAACATCTTACCAGATACTCCTGTAAACAGCCACGAGGATCCTTCTGTCTGCCTGCAAACTGCCTGCGTTTCAAAGGAGGACTTGCTTGTATTGTTCCAGTCATCCTGGAACGCTTTCAGACTGGTCGCAGCTGTGTTTTTCCCCTCTGGGGAACCCATCAACCAAAGAAAAGTCAAGTTATGATGTCTTGGAGGATATTCCAGGGAAGTCAGCAGGATTCATGCACGTAGCCAGGCAGGCACTCCTCAGCCGCAAGACTTCACGGGAGCAGTCTGGCTTCTCGACTTGCTTCTGGCCCAGCACAAGTCCTTAACCAGAGAACTGGACTGGATTCCCCTTCACCATGAGAGACGGAGTGCTCTGGGCACGTACCTAGTGCTCTTTGCTGAAATCTGTCTTTTCCTGGGTTGCAGACGTAAAGCTTAAAACAGAAAAAGCTCAGGGAAAGATGCGCTCGAGGCACACGCTGGTGGAAGCACGCAGACCAAAAAACTGAAGTAACCACGCCATAAAATATCATCATTGTTGTCACCTGGGCGGATCCCAAGGGAGGAGAGCCTCCCTGCAGAACGAAGGCCACCCAGCTCGCTCTCGAGTTCAGCACTCGAGATGTTTGACCTGGATCTGTCACCAGCAATCTTACCGCACTGCTGAAACTTCTGGCGACAAGACCCTCAGCAGCAACGTGGTCGTGGTCCCTGGAAAATTCCATAAATATCAAAAATTTATGTCTCTTAAGAGCAGCTTGAAAGGTGAGAGCAGTTAACTGCGGACCCCCCCCCGGCTCAGGAGTGAGCAGGCAGGGCAGAAGTCGAAGGACCGTGTGTAGCACGACACCAAAAACTGGTAGGGTGTGTGTCTGGGGTGTTTCAAAGGTGATCTTCAGCAAGAGGGATGTTGTGTCCAGAGCAGGGGTCTGGGAATTCGGAGAGCTGGGTCTTATTTGGCTGCCAGGGGTTTTATCCAGGTAGATTCTGTGCCCAAATATCTGCAGGGTCTCTGGGTTTCCCCTGTCAGGGCTCCCATTCCCCTTGCTCTGCGGAAGTAGTTCGCCTGTTTGAAAGAAACAGTGTTATAATGAGAAAAGATGATGAATAATTTTCAACATTAACTATCCTGAAGTGTGGTGTTTAGTCCCAGGTTCATTTCCTTTCTGCGATAATTAACTCCCAAATCCTGATTAACATTATGCCCATTAAGCCACCCTTAACGCCTGCCTGCATATGGCCACGTCTGTGTACCAGGGCCTTGGGTGTTCTGAGTGCCCGTGGCTATAAACCTCCCCCAGATTAACGTGATGACAAAACTTCCATGGGACGTCACCGCTCGTTCTGGACCGTTGCAGACTCTGCAAGCACAGAGTTAATGTCAAACCCAAACGCCAGCTCCTGTGTGCTGCTCCTGTGCCCGGTGGGGCGCTGCCCTCCCGTGCCGGGGCGAGGGGCTCCCCGGGCGGTGCCACCAGCGATGCGGAATGTCCCCAAGGTGCCACCCCTGCTCAGAGCTGCCACGTCAGGGAAAATGAGCATCGACAGAGGCGGCAGGTGCTGCCGAGGGGGTGAGCAGCTCTCCTCTGCACCCGGGGCACCAGAATATCCATAATGCTCCACAGAGCCAGTCTAAACCTACTGCGAGGGGACCAAACTCCAGAGACTTGTGGAGTGGGAGTGAGTTCAGGCCGGAACGCAGAGCCCCGTGCTAGAGGTTGTTTAAAAATTAAGGAGAGGCACGGAAGGCAGCGCTGCCAGTGACGTGGAGGAGCCGACGGATCGGCTCGTAGCGCCGTTCAGCGTGCCACCATTTCCTCCAGCTACCTTCCCGCTAGTATCAGCTCTGCTGCATTTACTCTTGGCAGCCAAAACAGCTGCATCTCTCTCCTTAAAAAAAAAAAAACAACAAAAAAAATACCCCACCGTGAAGTCTTCCTGCAAACATAACACCTAGGTGATACAGAACTGACTATTTGGCTAAACTCTGGCTTGCAGCAAAGCAGTTTTTATATCACGACACTGGATTCTGGTGCACAAAAGAAAACTGTTTTTTATTTTTTCCCCTCTGCATGACCCATAGTTGTCAGAATCCTTGCTTCTTATTTTTTACACGCAGTAAATAGAAATAGACGCTTCAAAAGCTCTTGTTTCTCAAGTCGGGATGTCAGTGAGTAATGAAATAAAAAATTTCAAGCGAATGGCTAAGGCCCCACAGAGAAGTTTAAGCAGTGCAGAGAAGCAGCGGAAGGGCTGCGTTACAGCAATCCCCATCCCTGCGGGGTAAAGCACCTCCTCCTGCTGGCCTGGTGCTGCGGGCCAAGGGAGCCCGGCCAGGGGCACACGGTGCCAGCCCGTCCCCACGCACCAGGGCCTCGGCCACCGCTCCCCGGCACCAGCCTCCCCTGCCGAGCGCGGGACAACTGGCGGGTTTTCAACCCCTGAAATGCCAAGTGACCTACCAAAGCAACGATTTACAAATATAATAGCGGGCTTTCGTGATGTTTTTTTCGGTGGGTAAAAGTGCACTTCCCTTTCTCCTTCCACAAATGCGTAATTAGTTCATGCTCCAATTTCTGCAGCAATGTGTTAAATTTCGGGGGGGGGGACGTGCTCTTGTGGGAGAGGCAGACGTTCACTCACACACACACACACACACACACACACACATATTTCTCATGTCTGACTTGGTTGTAGTTGGATGCAGTTTCTTCCTGACTTTTTTTTTTTTTTTAATTCAGACTGCTGTAGCATTAAAATCTTCCATGCTGTTGGAAAAGGTTAATTTGTTTGTCTGAACACAAACAACTGGCACTGCCTTAAGCTGGTCACTATTTCCTTTTTCTCGATACCAAAAGCTTTTCCCCCTCCCCGCAACTTGCTCTGAGGCTTTACTCACCGCTTCTTTAAACTGATCTCCAACATTTTATTATTTATGAATAAAGGTCACCCCATGAGGAAATGGCACATCTACTAGAAAACAATGTGCACTTTCTAAATTTGAACCAAGTCGTTTCCGTTCTTTGATTTAAGTTTAGTTACTTCCTGTGGTTTCTTGTCCTACGCCGCTGCTGAATCTTTGGATCGACTCCAGGATAAATTGCACTCTCTCAATGAAATTAGAAACGGCGGCAATAGATGGCTTAGCCAGTGTAGTGAGTAAACAGCACTTAAGCTAAATATTAGTCCACTTAGTGTTTTGAAGAGGAGTGCCTAATTGCCTGCGGGAGGTGACATGGCAAGTGTGACCCGCGTGTGTGCCCTCCTGTGAGCTCCACCCGTCCGCTCCCACCCCGGGCTGCAGCCAGACGAGCTGGACCAGTGGTCCCCGACGGGGACGGGACCCCCCCAGCGATGCAGCCAAGCCACCCCCCAGCAGGCACATCCCGGGTTAGCGAGGCCAAGTGCTCAGCCCCACGCTCCCAAGCGTCTTTGTAGCAGGGCAACGCTCCTGCGAGCCACAACCTGGCATCAGGGTCTTACAGGGATCAGGGTCAATTGGGGGAAGCCCCCCCAAGCCTTAGATAAGTCATCGCAGGCGGTTTGCTGACAGAAATACATGGGAATACGGACCGGTGACCCTAAGATGTGCTCTCCCTCGGTAAAAATGATGAACAGGCACTTCAGGAGCCTGCAGTAATGGTAGCCCTTCCAGGACCGGAGGAGCTATATATGGCCAAGGTTAGGGAGAGGAACAGGAGGAGTGATGCACTTTACACCGGGGGCAAGTGCTCCGACTCCCTTGGACACAAATTTACCTTGTAAGACCTTCCACATAATAACCAGCCTCAGCAAAGAGCCCTGTTTGGGCTGGGGTTGCAGCGTAACTCAGTAACGATGCGCTCTTTCTCTCCTTTCTCTCCCCCGCCCCTTTTCTTTCTCCTTTCCTTCCCCCAGGATACTTAAGAGCAGATTTTTCACCGTTAATCAGAGTGCTTTATCAATGGAGCCCCGGATTCCCCACAACATCACTGTTGTCCCCAACTCTGTGATGGTCCAGCCCTTGCTGGACAGCCGGATCCCCTATGGGCGGCTGCAGCACCCGCTCACCATCCTGCCCATCGACCAGATGAAGACAACTCACATCGAGAACGACTACACCGACAACCCCACCGCGTCCCAGCTGGCAGCCCAGAAGCACCCCCGCGGCCCCCACGAACTGGTCCTGACCAACCAGCACCCGCAGCGGTGCGAGCAGGATGTCACCCACCCCTGGATTTCCTTCAGCGGGCGCCCCAGCTCCATCAGCAGCAGCAGCAGCACGTCTTCAGACCAAAGGCTCTTGGACCACATGGCCCCGGCGCCCGTGGCGGAGCAGTCCTCCCCCCGCGCGGTTCGCATTCAGCCCAAGGTCATTAACTGCAAACCCCTGGACCTGAAGGGACCCGTGTCTCAGGAACTGGACAAGCACTTTCTCCTGTGCGAAGCCTGTGGGAAATGCAAGTGTAAGGAGTGCGCGCTGCCCCGGACTCTGCCTTCGTGTTGGGTGTGCAACCAAGAGTGCCTCTGCTCGGCACAGAACCTGGTCAACTACTCCACCTGCATGTGTCTCGTCAAGGGCGTCTTCTACCACTGCACCAACGAGGACGACGAGGGCACGTGCGCCGACCACCCCTGCTCCTGCTCCCACTCCAACCGCTGTGCCCGCTGGTCCTTCATGAGTGCCCTCTCCCTGGTGCTCCCCTGCTTGCTCTGCTACCTGCCAGCCACCGGCTGCGTCAAGCTGTCCCAGAGATGCTACGACCAAGTGAGCCGGCCCGGATGCAGATGCAAAAACACAAACAGTGTCATTTGCAAGGCGCTGCCGGAGAGCAAAGGAAACAGGCCAGAAAAGCCCTTTTGATGGTTTGGGAGGACAGGGAGCGGGAGGACGCTCCACGGAGGGGGGTGGCCTTGGCTCTTTTTAATAACCTGTGTTCTGAGGATAACGTTAGCCTTTTGCCTTCGGAGAAAGCAGAAGCAACTATTTCCACAAACTGAAGCACTTTGGGTTATTCAGGGTTTTGGAACTGGTCAGAATTTAAATAGATGGGGCCAAAGGAGGAATCTTAATAATGTCAAGTGAAGGCTGAAAACCTATGTATATCATGAAGTACAGCTGCTTAAAAAACCCTGGTTCGGACGGACGGCTGCTCACCATGCCTGCTCGCCACAAGAACCATTAACTGCTCGCTTGGCAGGCGCGGCCGCACAAGCAATACCCGTTCCCAGCTGCAAAAAGCTGCATCGGATTCGTATTCAGGGTGGGCTTCTTGTTTTCGCTTCCCTTCCAAACTCTGATTTGCTACCAGCAGCCTGTGGAAGGTGACGGGTTCGCTCCCTGCACCCTCCTTCCCCGCCCGCACACCGTTAGGAGGGCCGGTTGCACACTCAGCCCGTGTTTCTCAAAAGCTTTCTGTGTCCCTCAAAGATGTTGAACCAGAAGTAAAGATACAGTTCATTTGTTTAAGGGTCTTCTAACGTTTAGGCCTATCGCTTTCTTTGCACCCACCTGGCCACACTGATTTGGACCCTCTTTTTAAAGCAGGATGGTAGCAGGGTTGCTCCCTCCCCGGGAGAAATCGCGGCAGGATGTGTTCGGGCGGTTGTATCAACACCGTGTCCTTCTGCCTGTGAGCCGATCCGTAGCATGAGGTTTCGCTCAATGGAATATTAATTTTACATCGACAGTACAAACCCGCGCCCGGTCGCCTCCTGTTTCCCCGGCAGGCGCATGCTCGCTCCCCCAGTGCCGGAGCGAAGGGGGATCTTAACTCACGCCACAAAGCAAAGACGTTCGGTGTTTGTTTCTCTCAACCTCTTTAAGCTCTGTGAAGAAGTCACAAAAACCTAAGTGTACGATACACCTAGGTGTATTTTTATAGGGATATCAATCCAGTACCTCCTCTCCTGGAACAAGCTCTTCTTTGCTCACTCAGATTTCTAAATTTTTTTTTGCCCCGGGGATGAATGGCATTTGCTTGACGTACAGCCCATTCCCCCATCTCGATTGCTGCTGCTCAACTTTTGCCTCCTCTGTACAAAAACGTGTCCTTTTAAATGTAGAGAATGCTTTTAATGTTTATTTTAGTGTCAACAAACACCAGGGAAAGCCAGGGGAGAGAAGAGAGCGTACTTAAGCATGTGCCCATGGAACATCATCGGCTTTATCCATGCGCTCATCCTAAGGCCCGTTCTGCATTCCCTTAGGGTGCAGTAACCCCTTAAGATGCAGCAACCCCTTTCTCGTGACAACTACAAGGTGCTAAATAAGAATCTTTGTCCAAACATGCAACACTGTAATAAGTAGGTAGGTACTTGTTGCATGCAGAAAACTGATCTAATCTCTCTTTTTTTCGGTTGGGTTTGTTGTTTTGGTTTGTTTGGTTTTTTTTTTTAATTAGAGGAAATTTCCTCAGTAAATGCACAGCAGTGACAGTGAAATGTCATCTCTAATTAGATAAGCAATAGGCAGAGCTCATGTAGCATTTCCAGGAATCCCATTTGCTTGGTTGCAATACAGTTGCTGCAGAGGGGGTTGGCAGGAGTGTACTGATGGGACTTCTGGGGTCTTTTGTTGTCAGAGTTCATTTAACCTGGATGACTTGGGGTTTAGTCAAGCTTAATTGTAGATATTTATTGAACGGGGAATTTAAAAAAAAAAAAAAAAAAGCCCACAACTTCTTATATTTATAACGTTTGCTAGCTTGTATGTGATAAATCACAGAAAAAGGGATACTGCTCCTGTCACCGGGGGGGGGGGGATCCAGAGCTGTATTTATTATCTTGCACAAATTGGAGGGGAAAAGATAAAAGGAAAACCGACCCCAAACTAGCTGAACCATTGGTTGAATGTATAAGGTATTGTATTTAAGAAGAGAAATCATTTTCCTAAGGTGCAAACAGTCTAGAAGACACAGCGGGAGGGGTATTTGCCTGCTGCCCTCCTCTGCTGGGACCACACGTATCCAAATGGCCTCCACCTATGGTTGTTTTGCCTTTTTGACCCTCTGTCCCTGGCTGTTCCTGAGGGATCTGTGCTGAAAATCCGCAATAGCAAAGCCCGTGGCTTAGACGCGTGGTCCTTGCAAGCAACTACGACGCTGGAGTGGTCGCCACTGTGCCAATCTACACTCATGTATATACACCCAGCAATCCCCTCGGGATTTACTTTCATTGTACATAGTTGTAAACTATTTCTCTGTTGGTTTCTTTTTAATATGTAAATCCTGCTATGGTGTAAGCCGATCCCAGGCTGGAAGACTGTAAAGCATTAGTGGATGTGTTAGAGCAGTGGTAAATGTAGCAGAGTCACACACACACACACACACACACACACACACACCCCTTCCCCTCAGCCTCCCGGCACAGGTCGGATTCTGCCCCACCAGCTCCTGGCCCAGGGCAGGGAAGTGCTGAGCTCCTTGTGAGCACTGGGAAAGGCTGGGGGGCTGCCGAAGCGGGGGCTGGCGCAGGGTACGTCTCCAGTCAGTAATGTCTGTAGCCCCCATCCCTTCTCTTCCCCCATCCCCTTTTAAGGTACTTGGGTCTCCCGCCAGCCCTGAGACGTACCACGGTGCCGCGTCACCTCAGCCCCGGCAGCTCTGCCCACCCCTCCCTGCAGGTCGGGTCCCCCCCCGGCGAGCTGAGGGGCGGCTGCTCCTTAGCACAAACACGACATTTGCTCTTGGGCCACGTCAGCCCGGTGGCGCGGGACCACGAGGGCGAGAGTTGGGGTGAGGGCAGGTTCCCCCCGTGCCACCACCGAGCGCCTCCGGAGGAGGAGGAGGAGGAGGAGGAGGGTGACAGGGCACTCCGACTTTACCGCCCTGAACTGCTAACTGCTGTCGCAGGTTCACTGCCGGGGTTTGCCCTCTGCCCGCCCGCAGAAACCAAGGCCCAGGAAGCAAGAAGAGGTGATTTTACGGCGCACGGGCAATGCCACGCCGCGTCCCCAGCTGGAGCTCACCATCAGCAGACAGATAAACCGTCACCCCGTCCCAGAGCCTGCCGGGTGCAAGGAGTGGCTACTAAATTCACGCCACCGGTTTTCCCACCCGGCCGAGCCCTCGCCCTTTCACAGCACTGGGTATCCCACCTCCCACGCTCGGACACGCCGATAAAGGTTTCCCCCTTCTCCTGTTACCACCCCGCCACATACACACCCTGAAAAGTGACCACAGAAGGTTTTCTTTGTATAGAATATTTATTTTGAAGCTCTATTTTAATAGTATTTATTTTAGAAAGTCTACTATTGTAAGAGTTCTTCTGTTTGTGAAGAAAAACAAGTACTGATGAATGTACTGATCTAGAAATTATATATATATATATATAAAAATATATATTGTTAAATATATAAATGGCTGTTGTTGTTTTTTAAATAAAATATCCCAAAGCATGTTTATAGCAATTATTCTAAAAATACAAGCAGAGAGTAGCCCAAAATCAGTTATTTGATACGACACAGACCAGGAGCAATGGAGGGAGGGGAGAGCCCGGGTGGGATTACTCGTAATCCAGAGAGTAGGCTGGCCCCGGGGACCCCAGCACGGGGGGCAGACCCCCCCTCACCGCGCGGGGATCGCTGACCCTGACACGCACCGTGGCGGGTTGTGACACGCACCGTGCAGCTGCCACCTCAGCCACCAGCTCCGCGTGGGGAAGCTGCGGCCGGGGCAGAGCTTCCCGGGGAACGGGGCACCCCCGAGCCCCCAGCACGGTGGGGACCCCTGTGCCAACAGCCAAGGGGAGCCCTAAAAGCACGCGGCCCCTCGCTGGGATGGTCTCCAGCCCCATCGATTTATTCCGGGCCCTCGGCGTGGCTCTGCCCATCGTTTTGCTGGGCGCAGCATTTAAATTTCCCGCAGCTCACCTGCCGCGGGGAAGAGCTGGCTCCTCCGCTCACGGAGCCCCATCCACTTGTAGGAGCAATTCTTCCCTCCACCTCTAAAATATGCCAGGGAGATCTGCACGGAGGGCAGGGCTAGAGCTCAACTCGTAGTATAAAAATTGGGCTGGAGATTAAAAAAAATAACCCCAAGTCAGTGGTAGCCACCGCACAGAGGGGTTTTGCGGAGAGGCGCGTCCCACAGAGCCTCCCTCGACATTTCAGGCCCGCTCCCTGCTGTGGTGCTTCCCATTTGGAGGAGCAGAGCCCGTGGGTTTTGTACCCGGAGCCGTTAGAGAGAGGATCTGCTTGGGCCCCGCAGCCACGGCGATGGGGTGAGCCCGCAGGGACGGCGCAAGGTGGGGACGGGGGCAGAGGACGAGGCCAGGAGGGCTCCTCTCCCCTCCCGCTGCCATCCCTCGCTCTCATCCAAACAGGAATAGCACAGTAAGTGCGGGGCCTCAGGCAGGTGCAATTTTCATAACTCATAAGTCTCCGGGGCAGGAGGGGAGCTCCAGGCTTCATCATTTCATCTGCCCGCGCGGAGCTCCGCACCCTGCCATGGCGCATCCCCCCCAGTGCCCACCCCCAGGCACCCGTGGGTGCCTCTGCCCCAGGGCGCAGGAGGGGACAGGACACCCCTCCTCGTGTCCCCAAATCGTGACAAACCCTCCCTGCCTTGACACCGACCCGAGCTCTCCGCAGCTACAGCCGCGACCCCAACTCCTCCCGGGGAGGGCGGCGCGGGGCAGGTTGTGAACCCCAGCCCCGGTGAGCAGGACGTTGTTTCCTTGACAGTTATTTATTTTTAGAGACAAAAAAGTCAGAGCTGCTCCTACGTTGTGATTTACCCAGGCTGTGCTGCCGACACCAGGGCTCTGGCCGGACTCGGAGCATCCACGGCCCCCGTCCACCAGCACACACGGCTCTGCCTCCCCCCAGCTTCCACTGCTGCCTCCCGGGCCCCCAGCATCTCATTAGACTGCTAAAAATAAAGGATCCGGGTTATTTTTCACCATTCCTGTTATTTATTTGCGCGCACTACGGAGGAGCTATGACTCATGAAAAGACGCACCATGTTTTGTGTCACCCACCGAGGTAACGCGAGCGCTTTACCTGGCCCGAAATAATATTAATGAAACAATAACGTTGAGTTAGTCACTGGATCAGATAAAGAGGCAATAACTGCGCTGTACAGATCATGACATCCAACGCCAAAAAATTTGCAATAAGGAAAAGATGCTGCATTTATTATGCTGGTGGTGGTGGGTTTTGTTTTTTTTTTAAAAAAAAAAAAAAACAGGCTGAGCCAGGATGTATAAATTTGAATCAGCGTTTGGCAACACTGACTGATGTCTTGCACATAAAGCTTTAAAAATATCAACTCAGCGTTCACGTCTCTCTGCTGGAAGCAAACCAGAGCGCTCTCGTTGATTTGACTATTAGATGTCACAGGAATATTTTTTTTCAATCAGTCAATACGATCACCTTTTTAAAAATAATTTCTTATACCATTCTCAGCAATTGACCGTCGAAGGAAAGCAATCCCAACACCACGAGCGCAGGTTATAAGATGGCAAAGAGATACACTGAGCTTAACGTCTAACGGACTTCACTGTCAGGCGGGAAGCAGCCACAGCTCTCAGAGGTCAGATCAGAAAGGGAATTTCTAGTGAATCAAAGCCCCCAAAATACCCACTAAGCGATGCGCTAATGCTGGGGGAATGGGCTGGAACTTAGAGACGTGAGATAAAAGAAGCTAATTTTGAGATGTCCTTTAAAACTGTTTTGCTAAAGTAAGGACTTAATGAACACATGGAGATTTTTCCAAGGGTTTGAAAAACACCCTCGATGAGATGTGGGATGGGTCAGCACTGCCAGTGGAGGGAAGAGGGGACGGGGGGAGCAAACGAGCGGCGTTGGGCGAGAGTTGCATCCATCCTTAAAGACAACCGCTGCGGTAACACGGCTGCACACCGAAAACTAAATAAAGCCCTGGAGACGGGGCTCCGCTGCGCTGGCGGCTCCAGGGGGGGTTTCTGGCCGGGCAGCAGGACACATTCTTCCATGGTGAGACGCCTCGGCGAGGGGAACAATAGACACGAGGCGATCCAGGGAAAGGCAGCAACTGCGGCAGGCTTCGGGTGCCTGATGTGAAAGCGGGGGCTCAGGCCGTGCGGGGCTTGCTCCGCACCCTGCCATGGGGGACCCAGCAGGATCTGGCCCTCCCAGGCCACATCACAGCACCCCTCGCCCTCAGCCCCAGGACCGGGGCAGAACCCGTCCCCTCCATGTGGCCCACCAGGGGCCGTAACACCAACCTGCCCGAGCTTCTCCAGTAAAAGACTTTGTAAAAAATCTTTGCAATTGTACAAATGTTTTCTCACCATGTGTACACACACATGCAGGTGCACAGATATGCACACACAGAGCCGGAGTGGGATTACTTGGTGCCATTCCCCTTAGTGAACACCTCTGCTCTGTTTACGTGGAAACTAGATAAGGGATTCAAGGTCAGGTCTGTTTTTTTTTAAAAAAAAAAGCCAACAAACAAACAAAACCAAACCAAACTAAAAGTCAACAGATCCACATCCACGATCAGGCTGCTGATACAGGAGCTTTTCCTTCATTTCTTGAATTTCCAGGTGTGATGCTGGGGCACGTGTGGCAAGCAGGAGCTCGGCTGTGGCACTCATGTGGGTCCCACCAATAAATAATTTCTATCGCCAGAATTAGACGCCAGTGCTGTGTGTGAATGGGCACGATGGAGGCTGTGCCAGGAGGGAGAGCCCCGTGCCCCGGGCGGGCGAGGAGCTGGCTCCTCGCAGGGGATCCACAGACCAGCACCCGGCACCCACG